TTATGTGAGAAAAAAAGACATAATCAAATTTATTTATTTATTTATTTATTTTAAAGATTTTATTTATTTATTTGAGAGAGAGGAGAATGAGAGACAGAGAGCACGAGAGGGAAGAGGGTCAGAGGGAGAAGCAGACTCCCTGCTGAGCAGGGAGCCCGATGTGGGACTCGATCCGGGGTCTCCAGGATCATGACCTGAGCCGAAGGCAGTCGCTTAACCAACTGAGCCACCCAGGCGCCCCGACATAATCAAATTTAGATATAATTTCCTTTCAGATTAATATTTTTAAATAAAGTCAGATAACTAACAGTTAAATCAAAGTGTTAATTGTACTTGGCAAACTACAGACATCATGAAATTGCACTGTCTCAATTATGGCTAATTTTAAACAATTCTCCTCCTTCCCTCTTTAAGATCTTGAAGAATATTCTATCTAGAAGAGTATTTCTTATATGAAACCCCTCAACAATGTCAGCAGATACAGTGATAAAATAGTATGAAATTCTGAAATGATGCAATATAAAAATAATACAGTTTGCAATAAGGTGAGTTTCCTCAAATTAAAAATGTCATCAAATCATCACAATCTCCAGGCGCCGGGCTGGCTCAGTCAGTAGAGCATGTGACTCTTGATCTCAGGGTTGAGAGTTCAAGCCCCACATTGGACGTAGAGCCTACTTAAGAAAAAATTATCACAATCTCAAATTTCAAACTTCCTTTTTATAATTGCCACATGGCGGCACCACTTCAGCTAGTAAATAGACTTCTGCCATTCATTGTCAGCACTGATCTCTAATTGTGTGGGGTCTTCAGGAACACAACCCGCTCAGAAAATATACCTGTTCTGTTCACTGCCAGAGTGGTGGGGCTTGTTTTCTCTCCAACCCACACCCCCATGTTTTTGCTAATACAGTATGTTCTCATAAAGTCTCTTTACCCACTGAACTTTGAGTTTTTAATTGAATTTTTTTGGCTTCTCAATAGAGATTAATTAAAAATCACTTGAGAGCATAAAGAGACTAGTGTATTAGCTTTGGAATTTCTTTCATAGACTTTGAGAATTGGAAGAGACCTCTGAGCTACCTGTCTAGCTCCTATACATTAACACATCAAGAACCTGAGTTATAAAGTAACTAGGTTAAGATAATGTAGGGAGGTGAGGGCAGAGTGGGATTTAGTTCTTCTGAGCCAAGCTGCTTCTGGATGTGAAGTGCTAATCACACTTGAAGGACTGAGTACTTAAGGACACTTAAATTGTGCCTCTACATACAAACCAAAGTGAAAGAAAAAAAGCAGTTCTGGTGTCAATGATGATCAAAGAGTAAAGACTCTGGGCCAGTGCACTTACTGAAGATAGTTCATTTTGATTATTTACAGGACCAAGGGGATAGATTTAATTAAACATAACTTCTGCTGGCCTCGTGTATATTAAATGTTCATACTTTTACAAGTTCCTAAATCAAATATGGCTGCAAAATGACTTTGAAGACATTTGTTAGCTAAAGAAATAACCATAAAATTCTCCCAGCAATGAATGTATTTCTGAGAGAACTATCAGGCACTTTGGAAAGTCTTATCCCACTAAATGGCTCTAGCATTTAGCAAAGTCAAAACTCCAGTTTAGTGATCGGCAACACTGAAAGCAACTTCTTTACGGAAATATTAGTGAGTCATTTCTTTAATATTTTTGTCAGGTACACAATCTGAAATTTTGCCTTTTTTTCTTGGTTTGAGGGTAGAGTGGACATTCTCTAGAAAAACAATATTGAAAAAACTATTTACAAAGTGCTTGCTTCTCAGGGGAAGGATGCTATATACCTTCAGAAATTAAAAAAGAAAGACTTAACTGGGACCCTTTTGTAACATTGATATGAGAGGAAGAAATATTTACCCATTTGACCTGATGTTTTTTGGGTAAAGTTACATTTTAAGGGAATCAATATTGTAATAAGCTGTGTCTACTCTGTGTTAATAAGTTTGGGTCTGCTCTACTTGGGTTTCAGAAATAATCCTACTAATTTGATCACAGGCAGTAGTGACTTTACTAATTGGTAAACATATACTTAAATTCCCAAATATTTGAGAGCTGCCTTGTAGTAATTTTCAGAAGTACATAAACACCTCAATAAAATACATATAAGATTTAAAAAAGCCTTTCTTCTTTGAATCTTTCCTTGACTAATATCATTTTAGAGAAAGGTCTTAGCGATTCCTTGGTGGATGAACTCTTCATTTAGGTAGTGATTCTAAAACTTCTCGGGGTTCCAGGTCCCTCTGATAATCTCAGTGAGTTGAACCCATGGATTTTAGGTCAATAATCCTGAATTGCCAGATTAGTACCCTGAGGTCAGGGAAGTCTGGTGACCTGCTAAGAGTCACACAGTGCTTTTTGCCTGCCTGTATCATATTTCCTGATTCTGTGAAAACAAACTAACAGATCCCAACTCCTCAACTCTTAAAATGCATACAGCCAGATACATATGGACAGCAAGAGCATGGAGATTTAAAATCAGAGCAGAAAAAAGTAACTTGAACAGAATGTGGCATTTCCCTTGGTCTGTTGCTAACGGCCCACATACAACATGCTTAAAAAAAAAAAAATCCCACCCTGGCACTTCTTTTCATCATCATTTAAAAATGATTCAAATGGACCTTTAGAATGTATGGCACTGGGGATGTATCCCATCTGGGGATAAACAGAAAAGAGCTTCATTGAGCAGGGCTGTGTTTTCAGTGGTTGTCAGACTAAAGTTGATGTGTATTCCATCTCTTCTGTTTGGTCATGCTTTTAAAGCCAAACACAATATTTTAGTTGTATATTCTCAGGACTACGAAGCCAGGAGCATTTAACATTCCTTTTTGTAAGAAAATAATTATGGACATGATTTTTAAAATGCCTTCAGGATTTGAAGATGTGAAAGAAACATGTAAAAATGAATTATTTCTTTTTATTCTTTATTTTCTCTTTATTCTTCATTTTTTTTTCTGACCCTGAAGTCCATCCCACTTTGTTCTATTAAAAACTGAGAGTCCTGCCTCTTAGTTGTTACCTTTGGGGTGGCTGTTTTCTGAATATTGTTCCGATTCAGGTTTTTCACACAAATCCTAAGGTTTGCATATCCCATATACTCACATACACTCTGCACTATAAAACTTCAATCAACTTAGAAGTCCATAACCAGCCAACAGTCTTTGACCTGTTTTGAGGCTCCTACTATCAGCAAAACTTCATCTTGATAACTGTCCTAAAAAAAGTTTAAACAATTTTCCTGATAACACTAAAAACTGCAAAAAAGTAATCACGGTTGGGTGAAGTGAAAAACTGATCAATCATGGAATATATTTGTTCACTGCTGTAGTTAGTTCCCAGTGATGGGGCTCACTCAGATCCTCAGGTTTTCTCAGTCTCAAGTTTTTGGCTCTGGATGTTACACTGGATGTGGGCATTAGATTTTAATCATTTCCCCAATCTAAAAATAGAAATTGTTCATTGGGGGAAAAGACGTCTTTTATTTAAACCTTACTTCTGGGGCATTCTAATGCTTCATTGCTAACCCTTATTTTCGTACAGCACACCTGGACTCATCACACAATATATGTAGTCAGGCTTTGGAGAATTTGTTTCAATTTACATACAATCCTCCAAATCCTCTGGCGAGCCTGATGTGAAATCTGATACAGCCACGACTCTCCAGCAGGATCTTCCTTTGCTCTCGGTGTTAATAGCCAAAGCCTCCAAGGATCCCTCCCGGGAGGCGCGGTGAGGCTAAGGAGTCGGGGGGGAAAAGGGAGATTGCCGGGTTGGCTGCGCTGAAGATTTACAATGTACTTCTTGCAGGCAGCTCAGCAACCCCCTCTGTGGCTGTGGGTGTCTGGTGTGACAGAGCGGAGAAAAGCTCTCTAATCTCCCAGTGCCTGCCTCTGCCGCTCAGCCGCTCCCCTCCCTCCCGTCTTCCCTGCCTCCTTGCGCACTCTCTCGCTCTCTCCTTTGCCTTTCTCCGGGAGTTTCAGTCCCTGAACGCAGTCAGAGTAGCCTTGGCAATCCGGACCTGGAGACTGTGTGTACACACACGGGCACACACACGCACACACATGCACACGCACTCGCACACACGCACTCCGGCTCTCCCCACGGGGATACAGAGCAAACCCGGAGCATCATCTACCTGAAGGGGATGGCCCGACAGGACACTTCTTGCTCACTTGTCATCTCCGGAGGTCAGAGCAACGTCGGAACGAGGGAGGCTCGCTGTCCGGTCTGCAACCTCACGCCGTTTGCCGCCACCGCTGCTTAAAGTGTCCAGGGTGGAGGAGACGGCTTTTTCAGGGCAGATTCCCGGCGCAGCTCTGCGGCCCTGGGACTTCGCCCGCCTGGTTCACCCCGCTCTCTTCTTCCCCGGCCATCCTCTCGCCCCCCGCTGCGGAGTGCATGGCTCGGGCGCCTCCTCTGCTGCTGCTGCCGCCGCCGCCGCTGCGAGCACATCCCACCCAGAGGACTGAACGCCACCGCTGGAGTGGGGAGAGAAAGCGGAAGCCCTAACTTCCCTCTCCACCGCTCCCTGTCCTTTCTGGCCGAGGACCGGTTGAAAGGCTCCCGCGGATAGCCAGGCGAGAGCTGGGCGCTGGGGAGGGCGAGCCGGGAGCCGCAGGCGCACAAGGGGCGGAGGCAGCATGTGCCCCGGCGGCCCGCGCGGGCCGGAGAAGTAGCGCGCAGTGGGGCGAGCGAGACGCTCCCTAAGTTGGGCGCGTCCCAGAGCTCGCCGCCCCGCGCCTCGGCCGCCAGTGTCCGGAGAGAGGCGGGGCTGATGGGGGGCGCCGAGGTTGCTGTTGCCTGCGGCCAGAACCCGTCTTAAAAGAACCTGGGCCGGCGTCTCCAGGGTCCCAGCTGGCGTCGCGCCCTCGGCCCGCGTGCGCTCTCTGATGCCTGCGCTGTGGGTGGCCCGGGTGGCCCGCCCGCGGGGGGTGCCGGAGGGGGCGGGGGAGGAGGAGGAGGCTGTGTGATGGCCCTGGACGGCGAGCGGGGGGAGCAAGAGGAGGAGAAGAAAAAGAAGAAGAAAAAGAAGAGGAAGAAGAAGAAGGAGGAGGAGGGGGCTGAGAAGAGCAGCTCACCCTTCGCGGCCACCATGGGGGAGAACGACACCGCGCTCCGGGCCGGCGGCAGGGGGCTCTCGGACCCGTGGACGGACTCCGTGGGGGTGCGACCCCGCACTACCGAGCGCCACATCACGGTGCACAAGCGGCTCGTGCTGGCCTTCGCCGTGTCCATCGTGGCGCTGCTCGCGGTCACCATGCTCGCGGTGTTGCTCAGCTTGCGCTTCGACGAGTGTGGAGCTAGCACAGCGCCGGGCGCCGACGGCGGTCTCGCCAGCTTCCCAGCGCGCGGGGGCAACGGGAGCCTTCCGGGTTCCGCCCGGCGCAACCACCAGGCTGGCGGGGACTCCTCGCAGCCCGAGGCAGGCGGGGAGGCCACCCCTGGGACCCCGTCCGCCCAGCCGCCGTCGGAGGAGGAGCGGGAGCAGTGGCAGCCGTGGACGCAGCTGCGCCTGTCGGGCCACCTCAAGCCGCTGCACTACAATCTAATGCTCACCGCTTTCATGGAGAACTTCACCTTCTCCGGCGAGGTCAACGTGGAGATCGCGTGCCGGAACGCCACCCGCTACGTCGTGCTGCACGCCTCCCGGGTGGCGGTCGAGAAGGTGCAGGTGGCCGAGGACCGGGTGGCCGGGGCTGTCCCGGTGGCCGGTTTTTTCCTCTACCCGCAAACCCAGGTCTTGGTGGTGGTGCTGAATAGGACCCTGGACGCGCAGAGGAATTACAACCTGAAGATCATCTACAACGCCCTGATCGAGAACGAGCTCTTGGGCTTCTTCCGCAGCTCCTACGTGCTCCACGGGGAGAGAAGGTAGGGAGGGAGGCGGTGCCCGGCACCGCCCCACCCAGCCAGGCTGCTCGAACGGCTGGGCGGCCGGCGACCCGGGGGACCGGGCTGGCTTCCCAGACCGAAAAGCGAGGGGTGGGTGAAGGAAGCGAAGGTGGGGTAGGACCATCACCCAGAACCCTTGGGGTCTGCCAGATGCCCGGGCTTTCTCTGCTGCCGACTCCACACACTCACCAGCGCCGAACGGTGAATACCACCCCCTCCTCTAGTCTGGAACTTCCTCGCGTCAAAGTTCCTTAGCCAGCATGGCGCAAAACAATTTTTAAAGGGTAGTGTGAAATCTGAGCGTTGCCAGGGTGACATCAAAACCCTGCCAAGATACCGTCGAAGGAAAATACTCGTGAGGGCCAAAGGCCAGGGCTGTGGCACGTCCAGATAAGATGGCAGTGCAGGGCAAAATTACCACCCCCCGCCACCCCACCAACATGCCCACCTCGACTGTTATCTGGCAGGCACGGAGCAGAGAGTGAGCTTTGGCTGCATGAAGTTTTCCAAAACTGGAGGTTGAGATTCGGAGCAGTACGAGCAGGTCCAGGTGACAGACTCAGGGGGAGGGCGACAGGGGTCCGGGGGAAGCTGCCATGGCTAATGCCAACGAGAAATGTCCTTGCAGGTGCTGCCAGCTCTCTTGACACAAACATAGAGTGACTCTAGTTTTTTGCTGTTGTTCTTGAGTTACTGCCTCTGGAAATAACTCTAGTGGTGAAAAGAGTTCGGAAAGCTAGCCGTCAGTCTCAAATGCCTTGTTAATGAGTGCCTTTGATGCCTTTTAGATTTGGGCGGTATTTTCTTTTTTGTTTTTTTCTGAGAGGCTGTGGGGCTTTTCACCACTTGTTTAGAGTTCAGATTTCGTAGTCAAACAGAAGTGGGTTCAAATCCCAGATGCAGCACTAGCTGTGGTGAAGGCTTGAAGACGCTGATGAATCTAAGTAACCAGCTCCTGACAATGATTATCTAGTGCTTATCCAGCAAAATATATTAACTTAGTACCACAAGAACCTTACGTGGAAGGTGCTATCCACACTTCCTATTTTACAGATAGGGAAATGGAGGCACAGAGAAGTCAAGTAATTTGTCACACAGTGAGCTGACAAAGCAGGGAGTTAGACCCAAGCGGTTTGGCTCCAGAGCCCATACTTTTAGTTTTAACTTGGTGACAATAATAGTACTACTATTATTGTGTCCATGAGTAAATGCATTGAAAAGCACTTAACCCTATACCTGGCATATAGAGTGTCCTCTATAAATATGAGCTGTTATGAGTGTCCTGTTGTAGTCAGCACTCAAGCATATTACTGAATGAATAAACAAGTGATTTTTACTTTTTGCCCTAATCCATTGCATTTAAAATAACTTTGATTAATTGACTATAGAGCCAGCAAACAACCTAAATGAAGTTAAAAAAGAAATTGACAACCTTAGAAGTAGAGGCAGGTTGGAGATTAGCAGTGATGCCCCTGGCAGAGCCTCTCCTGTTCTCAAATGATTTTCACAGCAGCAGAGAACTGGGGCTCAGAGCAGCCCCAGGTACCTGAGATCAGTCCCAGGTGCCTGAGATCAGCAGGCTTGTCAGTAGAGAGGTGAGACTCAAACTTTGGTTTTCTGATGGACCAGGGCTTATGGTGGCTGGAAACTCCCAGAAGTTGTTATTGTATAGGAGGCTGGGAAATTTCAGTGTGTTATGGGAGAACACAAAAGTTTTATTATTTATAGAGTGCTAATGAAGCAACCTCAGATCAATTTTCCAAAGCTTTAGTAGTTGTATGATAGTTAAAGCCTCCTATAAGTGAATGTATATTCATTTTCAAACTCCTAAGATCAGATGTGGATAATTTAAACCCTCTTCCACCACTGCCTTTAACATATTCTAAACAATACAGAATAAATACATTTTTTAAAACCCACCATCATATCAAATATGGGGGAAAAGGCATAGAAGGCAAATTTGCATGTTGTGTTTGGAAACAAGCTTATGTCAAAATGTCAATAGTGGGAGTTGCATATCACTGATAAATCTTGCGCTGGTGAAATAAATACTTCCAACAAATCCTGTGTTTTGAGCCATGCCAAAATATATTTGTTGGAATTGAGCTTGTTTTTGTCAGTGCATTCAAATTAACAGGACTCTTAAAAAGACCAGATGTTTTTGCTTGACCCGTAACTGCTTTCTTGTACTCCTAGTGCATATTTGTGTTCAAACTCTCTCCTTCAGTTTTCTCCCAGAGATGTAAATGACTTGGTTGAAAGTTTAATCTAGAGCACATGTGGCTGTATTCTGCATCCCAATAGAAAATCTGGATTCAATATTTCTGGAGCTGTCAGGATGGTTTTGTTTCTAAACAGCATCTTAGAGAAAGTCCTCGTTTCTCTTTGTTTTTTCTCCCCTTCATTACCGGAATGAATATGATAATTTCTTGAGTGTTTCTAACTGGAGTTGATATGGCAAAGGAAATCTCTGTTCACAATTATGTGACCATTACATCTATTAAATCTTTTTTTTTTTTTGATTGTTGTCATTACTATGGCTACTGGGAGAATTTTTTAAACATACCAATGTCAGGAACTCAGCCAGGTTTGGACTTTGATTAGTGATGATTTCGTCCCCCAAATGCTCTGTAATTTGATATTTTAAAACACTTTCCAAGAGGACATAGATGCAAATTCTAAATTTTCATTTGATTAATGATTAAATATCATGGTCTTTAGTTAGTTGTAGTTTTTGCCAGGTTAATTATTGGATAATCTTTGTAATAAAAATAAATATTTATTCTGCCAATGGGGAGTCACAGCGAGCAACTGGAAATATTTAAAAGAGCAGTACTACAATTCAGTCCACCTTACTTAGCCTACATGGAGACAACTCATTAATACCCAGGAGTCAATCTGATTCTTTGGTTTACTTCTCGGAGGTCTGAGAGAAAGAATTTGGGTGACGGCAGGAAAATTAGATTTCACTGTTGCTATATACCTATGACCCTTGGAAGGTTTTATTCCCCCGCTAGGCATTGGATGGGACCTGGTTTTGTCCTACAGAGAACGCTTACCTTTTCTCGTTCCCATACTGCACTGGAGAAAGGTAGAGGACAAACTCTCCCCTGAAACCCTAGACTCCTCTACTTTCAGTTGATAGTTCGGGTAATGGGAAATTCACCACTAGTTGAATATTGCAAATAAATAAATTCTCTTGAATTTGAAATGTTTACACACAGCAGTAAATTATCTCCATTAGGCAGAACACATACTCATTTTTTCCTCAAGTTGGTGCATAGCAGGCAGATAAAAAGGGTGTGTATTTATGCCATAGTATCCTATAGTAGAATATACTTGCTTAGGATTAGGTATATGTTCATTTACCTGAAGTAATTGCTGCTTTCGGGTAACCAGATGGCAAGCATACCCATGTTCAAAGTAGGGTACCTTAATTTAGAACCAGATGGTTGGATTGAATGAGGAAATTTACTCAAAGTAAATGAATATTCTATCCACTTTCAAAAGGGAGACAGTTTTTTTTTTTTTTTTTTTGACAAACTTTGGGTCTATAACATGCCACAGTTACAGAAGACAAAATAAAAATGGGTGGTCTTTTTCTATGAAAGATTATTTTAAAGAGAAACCATGATCTCCAAATAGAATGGGAAAATAACATTGTGGTTCTCAGAGAATTGCAAAAAACTCTTGCAAAAATCTTGTGGAGCATCTTGTGGAGAGAACAGAGGATTTTATGGATAGGCATTTGATTTTCTGTGGTATTAGTATACATGGTTTGATGCCTTGTACTTTCCTGGACTGAATTAATAATCATGATATTTAATAAAAACTTGAAAACCACCACATGGCTTTTATATTGAAAGCAGCCTCATTTCTCTCATTCACTCTGGTGAGGAGATACCTTTATATGAGCAAGTTAGAGTTTATGTCTTTTTGCTCCTCTACAGAAGGCTCTGAACTGAAAAATCTGTAAGAACCGGTTGTTTCTGTGAAAACTTTTTAATAGAATTCCTTAATGAACTTAGCTCATTGTTTTCCTGTCAGGCACACATAACCATATGGCCAGAGTCCCATGCTGGATTTTGGTCACAATTCAGAATGTCACCAGTAAACCAAATCTAGAAAATATTTTTAAAAAGCTTTGATCAGTTAATAATGAATAATGACTCATTTAGGTAGGAAAATCCATACAATTGGTGTTTGTCTTGCCATGTTTTCCATGATGCCATCTGATTTGATTACCCTGGATAGTAATACAATATACACTTCCTCTCAAAGAGTTAAATTATTTTGCCTGTGTTTTTATGTATATAAAGTACTCTAAATCCTAAACAGGGCCTATCTGCTCTGGATCTCTTTCAAACAAAGGTGGACCTGTGACTGGTTCTCTGGTATTTGTTTGGTTTGCAAAGCATGTTTATTTCCTCAAACCAGTTCTTGCCACTGGGTATGGGGATGGGCTTGAGGCAGTAGTACAGGGTGTGGTTTAGGTTTGTTGAGGATGGGGACGTTTGTCCATGTGATGACAAGAATCAGACTCCGTTCTTTAAGCACAGCTTCAAAGAATGATATAAAAGGAGCAAGGAAGAAATGATGGATCTTTAATACATGAACGTTTGGCAGTTTGTAAGGAAGGGTGTTCCTCTTTACCCGGTGCTCATTCTCCCACCAGCCAGCAATGACAATCATCATCATTGTCAAAATCACCCACTTCCTTTTACTTATTTGTCTGTCCTTTATGTGCTTTCAGATTTGCAGCAGTGGCTGGTTTCCTCCAGAGTTTTTCAAAGTCGCCTATCCTGCTTTTTGCCACTAGAGAGTGGATGCTCTTTCCAGCAAGTAGAATCTCACTCACTACATAGAAATTGGGAGAATGTAAAGATGAAAGATCCCCCCCCCCCAGTCTTCTCAGTTTCCTGGCCCATCTGGAATGATTTCACACGGCTACAATGTATGGTGGTGTTGGCAATAAGACT